GCAATGGCCTCCAACCCAATAGCAATGGCCTCCAACCCAATAGCAATGGCCTCCAACCCAATAGCAATGGCCTCCAACCTAGAAGTTGTCGTTTTCATGTCCAACCACTGTGTGGCGGACTGCCACTGTCATGAAGCGTCTTGACGCGTTGATTCTGCTACCACATGCACGTGTGCAGCGCGGAAGGTTGCCGAGGGAGGCAGCAAACTGACCGCTTGGCAACAAGAAGACTGATCCTTTGGCAACAATTCTGCAAAAGCACAAACAAATCAAACAAATGATTGCGCAATTGTTCTCTGATTTTGTTTGCATGCAGCGCATGACCTGCTGGCATCTCAACCTTGCAGCTGTTGAGTGACTCGAAGGCCAGGCACTCGATGGAGCCAAAATTTTCGAAGGTGGCGCCATGTTTAAACGGTTTGTGGCAATGCAGACAAGGCGTCCTGTGGCTACGTGTTTGGTCACTGGTGCCTCAGTAATGAGCATCGGTGACTCAGCGGTACAACTTTGTGGCTCGGGCACCTTGGACGTCGAACGGAACGTGGTGGTGAGCGCATACAATGCAGGCTGGGCTGTGACGAAAACACCAAAAACACTGATGTGCAGGACTGGCTTGACCGTGGTTCAATTTTGTTTCATAGTTTTCAATGGATTGTCCTTCTCTGTAGACTGAGGCAGCGCTCCATTCTTCTACTTTTGGTGGCAAACCCTGGATGGTATGTTTCCTGGAAAAGGATGGGCAGCAGTCGCGCGCAAAACGTTGGTGAACCAAGCCACGATGGCTCCCTTCAACAGCGCGCTCTTTCTGACCTGGAGTACTGCCTTGGAGTCGGCAGCTGAGAGACATGATCAGGTCCAAGTCCCAAAAAATACCATGTAGTAACAAGAAACTACTAGTAACATCTAGTACTGGTATGTACTGGTAACAAGTGCATTGCTACTACTATATAGTAACATCTAGTACTGGTAACAAGTGCATTGCTACTAGGCTACTAGTAGTATACGTGCATTACTACTAGCAACAAGAAGCGTAGCGATGACAATAAATGATATTAGCGCGGCATGTGGAAGTTTGTAGGCCACACCAGTCACAAGTTGTGACATGTTCTTTGTGTCTACGAAAAAAGGTTGTCCAGAACATTCCAGAACAGTGTCTCCGATCCAAGGGCTCGGGAATCAGATGAATCAGGAATCAGGGACTCTCCAATAGTCTGGACCATCCATCCATCCATCTATCCATCCATCCATCCATCCATCCATCCATCACAATATCTCGGGCTTCATGTCTCTAGCATCGGCGTTCGCTCTACATCTCGCTGTTGGGACCGTGTTTCTCCTTGAAAAAGCCCCCCCCGCCCTGGCAGACGGGTGCTGAACGAGCCTCAGACATGAGCGCAGACGGGTCCGTTTGAGGCCCTGGATCAAGACCATCCGCAAAAAGGGCAAGGATGACCCGAAAATGCCGCCGTGGCAGCACTTCAGAGATCCCCACCCATGCACCCGCCTGAACAGTGTGTTCCGGCAAGAAAAAACCGCCGCGACAACGGCGTTTGATTGGTGTGTTTTGGTCGTGGAATCGAGTCTCCTGGAGACTTCGCCCAGGTGCTTATAGACATCATATTTTTTTTTGTTTCCGTTGTAATTAGTGACGTTTCTGTTCATTCAGCCCAATACAAGGATCTCACTGCGATCGTGTTGTTTACATGATTTGGGAAATCCAAGCCTAAAGCCCTTGGCTCAGGTCCAACATTTGGGAGAAGGCGGGTCGGCCATGGTTTTGTCATGGTGCGCTTCAGACGCATCGTTGTGAAAGTAAGCTTGGCACAATGGAAACTCACTGACACCTATGCCTACGGCCGATCGCGAAACGGCCTGCCAGGTGAAGAGCAAAGTTCAATCCGAAATACCAGAGCTCGTTGTTAGCCAATGCGGCTATTGGCTTCCAGCCAACGCAGTCAACTTCATGAGCCTTGTCTGAGTATAAAACAGGACCAGAGGAGCTGCTGAAGATTTTCTTTTCTGGCTGATATTCTCCAGATTTTGAAGGTCAGGTTGATTTTGAACACTGATTCTTGTTCATTTTTGCTTCAGGTTCATGCCGCAACATCTTCGTGTGGTGTTCATGTCTACCTGCGCTGTGATCTGGGGAGGATACATCAGCTACGTTGTACACCGCTAGCGACCCAAGGGATTCACCAGCCAACGGCAGTCAAATCGCTGTGCTCAAGTGAGACGAGCGAAGCAGCAAGAAGCGTTGTTGGTGGGTCGTCGGATGGGCCTTTGGCCAATCTTGCAACCCATGGCCCGTTGTCACTGAGTAAGGCTAGGTGGTGCAGATTCCTTGTGTTGTCCAGAATCTGCTGGGGTTGGCTCACTAGGAAGCATATGCATGCATATGCAGTCTACTACATTACTAGATTGTGCAACTAGGCCGAGCTAGATGCTCCGGAAGATTCCTGAATAATGTGTAAAGGATTGCAAACCAGTTTATGGTATGGTACTTGTAAGTCTCCAAGAACAGCATCCTGTCTGTTTTTTGTGTGATTCTTTTGCATGATTTTGTTTAACAGTTTTGTTAACCTTTTGTCATGCTTGGGCTGCTTCCCTGCTCGGCTTGTGGGCGGGAAAGTGGCCACAAGCAGTTCCTAGCAAGCCAACCCTTGCAGCATGTACAGGCCACTAGTTGCTTCGCAATCAGAGCAGGATGCGAACAGGCTGCTGCTGCGAGCCCACGCGAGCCCAAATATCCCTCGGCGCCAGCTGCTTGCCAAACTCGGCAACGGTTGCGTGCCAGTGGCTCGAGTGCTTGCAACAGCTCGAATGGCAGAAGTGGCCATTTAGATGCCAGTGTTTAAAGGTTTGCGCCGTCCGCACTTGGGGGTTAACACGTTCACCAAAGTAAGGGCCTTTTCTGAGCTGAACTTGCAGCTCGACTGAGTGGATGTTGGATTCACCATTTTTGTCTCCGCAGCTGTTTTCGCGCATCAAAACATCTTGACGCCAAGGAGTATTCTTGCAGTGGAATTCTCCGGGTTCTCAGGATCATGAAACTGCGCGACAGAAAGCGCGCGTATTTGTGTGTCCTGCATATTTAAGTGTACTACATCTACTCCAACTTCGCTCGGTATTTGTCCCACTTTGATTTTGAAGAGTAAACTGACATGCAATGGCCTCCAACCTAAGAGTGATGGCCTCCAACCTAAGAGTGATGGCCTCCAACCTAAGAGCGATGGCCTCCAACCTACGAACCATGGCCTCCAACCTACTAGCGATGGCCTCCAACCTAATAGCAAGGATTTATGATTTTGCAAATTTAGTAAACTGACACGCAATGCACGACATCTTGGTAGGCTAGAGGGAACTTTGCCTCGACAGCCGTGTCTTGGAGCCATGTCTTTCTTGGAAGGCGACGGTGTTCTGGAGGCCCTTCTTTCGAGCAGTGGGCATCAAAAAAGCACTCTCTGTTTGAAGGACAAGCTGTCAGCCAGCTGGACCCAGCTGTGGACTGATCATGATTGATTAGCGCATGGAGTGTACTGTAGTCAACACCTGGCCAGCAACACCTGGCCCTGGCCCGAGCCCCTGAGACGCGGCCGGACTGACCGGGGCACCCCCCTGCCCGAAGTCAGCACGGCGCCTCCGCCGTAGCGACAGGCAGCCGAAGTTTTTGTCTAAGTGAATCGATGCGTCCCTACAAGTCAGGAACTGGCCTCATGAACTACTGGAGATGGTCGTACAAAACATTACAAAACCAATACTGAAGGAGGTAAAAGTGCAGGTTTTACTGGGTCAGACTGGACTTCTAGGGCTTCGATGATGGACATGAGTCTCATGTAGCCCTCTAGTCTGAAGGGGAGGCTAGCTACGACACCAGACCAAGTGCTGGCTGGGACTGGGCCTGATGATTGATTCATGATTTCCAACCCCCCCATCCTCCCTTGAATTGATCAACAGTAATTCGATGAGTAAATGTGTGCCCTCTTCGTCCATTGAGGGTCCAGCCCTCAGCACCATGTCCTGTTTGAGGCCTGTCCCAGGCGGAAAATCCCTGCATTTTCACCTCGACACCCGCAGTGAACTGTCAACCGTGAAGACTTCCATGTTTAACTTCTCCTTTTTGGGAGGAGCGCTTGCTGGACTTCCTGAGCAGTCCGACGGACCCGCAATGGGAGCCTGGGTAAGACCCCCCATGCGGCTAACACAAGTTCACGTACCATCCACACATCCGGAGTAGTGAATTGAAGATCCATTCATTATATTTTGCAGTCTAGCCAATTTCAGATGCCAACAAAGCACAATGACGCAGCTGTTTTTGATCTCGAACTTTACACAAGTCTTGTCCCAAGCATCCCAGGATAGTCTTATTGAATCAGATTGAAAGCCCAACGAATCTCCAGTACACGCTATGGAGGTGCATTACAACAGGACCAAGATTCTGTAAAGGGAACATAGTAGACAAGTTGGTTTGGGGTTGCATATTCTAATCCATTTACACAGACCAGTCTATTTCCGGATACATCCTTTTGTTTCGTATTCTTTAGCTATCTGGTGCTCAGAAGGGATCCATATTTTCCAAAAGTATAGACAGGGGGTTCCGTTCTGAGCAAGAACGTCCACCTCGTTTGGCGTCGTCCTGCCGATCAATTGATCACTCTTCCAAAACGATTTGGTCGAGCCTCGGGGTTTCTCCGAGATTGAATCCGTTGGGATGGGTGCATCTGCAAGTCTGGCTTCAACGGTGCTGGTGCTGTGCAGCTATGCAGGACAAACGCAAATTCTTCACGCTGTGTGCCGCTGCATTTTTCGATGAATTTTTTCTGCCGACCTTCACAAGCCTGGTAGAAAGCAAGCTCTGATTCCTCGCTCCATGTATCTCGTTGTATCAGGCCGTGTTAAGAATTCAACGGATGTTGATATGCGGTGTGTCAGAAGAAGTGCACCACCAAACGGTAACCCTAAAATGCAGGTCCAGTTTCACACATGCATGACAGGACTGTGTCCCTCATGTGCAAGGGAATAACCAGGTAACCAAAGGGTTCCGGTCTTGCAGACTTGCATGCGGACTTTGGCTCAAGGCCATTAGCGGGAAAAAGCGCGTGTGGGCGTTCGATCTCGCGTTTTTGTGGTTATCTGCCGTAGGCTCCCCAGCCTACGGTTGTGCCCGAAGCCATTACATCCTATGTCGATACAAGTGTCGAACCGACTGAGTTGATCGGCAACACACTTTGGCGTTGCGTGCCCGCTCCGAGAGGCGGGAGGCGAGGGTACAATCAGAAGCTCAGACACTTGCAAGAGGAACAAATATCCTGTTGTTCTTCCTGGCACGCCTACGCTGCGCATTGGGGATTTTCAATTGTTGAGTCTGTTCTTCAAGGTGGACGGGAGTGGGGAGAGACTGAATCCGAAGAGGAGGGAGCAGGATCTTCGTCCGTTCTTGACCCGCCTGCCCGCCTGCCCAGAAGGCGAAGCCAGCGCCACCGATTGTTCCAGTCTTTACGACACAGGTCGTTTCGGTGCCATCGAAGGCAACAGTTGAGACATCACAGGTTGTTCATTGCCGGTGCAAGCGAAGCCGAAGGTGAGACTTGCGACAACTTCAAAAGGAGTTCCGCGGAGCAGGGCTACAGATCTTGGAGACGAGCGTGAGGTTACAGATCTTCAGTCGAAGGCGGCGTCATCAGCGAACTTGGAACCGATCCGAGAGGTGATTCGTCCGACAGAGGTGATTCGACCGACGTCCACTCCAAAGGCCATTGCGAAAGTCTTGCCAAAGCCGCCGCCAAAGGAGCCGCCTATTGTAGCTCCAGCATCGACGACAGCATCGAAGTCGGTGCCTCCGAAGGCGGCGCCAGAGCAATTGTTGAGGCCGAATCCATTCTTGCTCCCGGACGGAGTTCTTGCCTACGAGAGGTCGCAAGGCCGAGAGGGCGAAAGCTATGAGGAGTTGAGATCGTATCGGTACTTCAACGGGTTGTTGCCGGGAAGTGGTGTTGAGCGTAAGTTTATTCTTTTCCTCGATTACCATCAAGTGCTTGACAGAGGCGTAGCCGAGTCAGCATCGTGGTCGCACAAGATCCCAGGAGACAACGTGAGTTTCTTGAGACGTGTAAAAGAGTCAGCAGAGCGTGTTTGGGGCAACAGGGATGCATGGTTGATTTTTGTACTGAGCCACATTGAGACATCTTCAAAGAACTTGGAGGGACTCTTGAGAGCTTGCAACGGTACAAGAGAGATCATTGAAGAGAACCTGATTCAAGCATTGTTCGTGACTCCAACAGCCAGAAAGATTTCCAGAGGCTTTTCAATGCCGATCTGCATTGTGGACGACAACGTCCGTGTGATTGCAGAGTTTGCAGGAGCCCAGGAGCATCTTAATCCGACCATCCATTGCGTGCGCATCAAGCTGAGAAGGAAGCCATCGGCCGAAAGAGCTGAGGTGGTTAGGCCCTTTTTGGCAGGCTGCAGTGAAGATTTGGAGAAGTTGTTCCGACGCTATCAACGATGATTCCGACAGGAGAAATCGTGCCGGCGTCTCAGGGTTTTGCCGTAGCAGCAGGTACTCCGATTGCAGATATTTCGTCTAGTACTGAACCCATGGAAGAAGACCAACAAAGATCCAGTTTTGTTCAGGTGCAAAACCAAACACTGAACCAGTTGAATGTTTCAGCGGACCCAATCATTGTTGCCGAAGCTCACCAAGAGATTGCTAGGGCCAGACTAGAGGCTCAAAGGGTAGCTCTTCTTGCCGATGGGGCAGTCCGGGAGGCAAACCAAAGGGTGGCAATGATCCAAGGGAATTCGCAAGCGCAAGTGGCAGACGTTCAAAGAACAGCTCAAGAGAGGGTAGAGTTGGTAAGCCATCAAGCCAATGTTGCAGTAGGTCAAATCCAAAATGAAGCACTAGCCAGTCCCAAATCCAGCAAATGGAAGAAGGTTTAAGGTTGGGTAGGCAAGAGAACCATCAGATGAAGGCTTTTGTCGAGCACGCCAATAGAAAGCAAAGGGAGCATGCTGAGATCGTTGAAAGTCTCCATAAGGAGCGCCACATGCAAACCGTTGCAATGAGGTCTAGGATCAATCAGCTTGAGGGCGCAATAGCCCTGCAGTCTAGGACCATGCAGTCAACAGGCGATGGACGCCAACCAAACACCAACCGGGTCAGAGTCCTTCCGTGGTTTG